GACACTGAGGGACACGGGGAGAGTGCGGGAGACTGGGAGATGGATAGGTTTTTTGGGGGGATGGAGACACTGAGGGACACGGGGAGAGTACGGGAGACTGGGAGATGGATAGATTTTTGCGGGGGGAGACACTGAGGGACACGGAGAGAGTGCGGGAGACTGGGAGATGGATAGATTTTTCGGGAATGAGATACTGAGGGGCATGGGGAGAGTGTGGGACACTGGGAGGTGGATAGATTTTTGGCGGGTAGACACTGTGGGACATGGGGAAAGTGAGGGAGACTGGGAGTTGGTTAGATTTTTGTGGGGGGAGACACTGAGGGACACGGGGAGAGTGCAGGAGTCTGGCAGGTGGATAGGTTTTTGTGGGGAGACACTGAGGGACATGGGTAGAGTGTGGGGACTGAGAGGTGGATAGATTTGTGGGGGGAGACACTGAGGGACACGGGGAGAGTGCGGGAGACGGGAAGATGGATAGATTTTAATGGGGGAGACACTCGGACACGGGGAGAGTGCAGGAGACTGTGAGATAGATAGATAGATTTTTGGGGGGAGAAACTGAGGGACACGGGTAGAGTGCGGCAAACTTGGAGATGGATAGATTGTTGGGAGGGAGACACTGAGTGGGTTCAGGGACACTGGGTGATGTCTTGATTTTTGAGGGGAGATACTGATTGGATTGAGGGACATGTGCAGGGTGTGGGAGACTGGGAGATGGATAGACTTTTCGGGGGAGAGACACTGAGGGACACGGGGAGAGTGCGGGAGACTGGGAGATGGATAGATTTTTGGGGGGGAGACACTGTGGGACACAGGGAGATTGTGGGAGACTGGGAGTTGGTTAGCTTTTTTGAGGGGAGACACTGAGGGACACTGAGGGACATGGGGAGAGTGCAGGAGTCTGGCAGGTGGATAGATTTTTGGGGGGAGACACTGAGGGATACGGGGAGAGTGCGAGAACTGAGAGGTGGATAGATTTGTGGGGGGAGACACTGAGGGTCGACTGCAGCAGACTTGGTGATGGATAGATTTATGGAAAGAGATGCTGATTGGATGGAGGAACATGGGGAGAGTGCAGGAGACTGGGAGACAGATTGTTGGGAGGGAGATACTGAGGGGACTGAGGGACACAGGGAGAGTGCGGGAGACCGGGTATGGTTTGATTTTTGAGGGGGAGACACTGAGGTGATTCAGGGAGATGGGGAGAGTGTGGGACACTGGGAAATGGATAGATTGTTGGGAGGGAGACACTGTGGGGACAGAGGGACACTGGGAGTGTGGGAGACTGGGTGATGTATAGATTTTTGGGGGGACATACCGATTGGATTGAGGGACATGGGGAGGGTGCGGGAGATTGGGAGACGGATAGATTTTTGGGGGAGACATTGAGGGAATTGAGGGACACGGGGTGGGAACGGGAGACTGGGAGATGGATAGATTTTTGGGTGGGGAGACACTGAGGGGATTGAGGGACACGGGGAGAGTGTGGGAGACTGGGAGATGGTTAGATGTTTGCGGGGGAGACACTAAGGGACACGGGGAGAGTGCGGAAGACTGGGAGATGGACAGATTGTTGGGAGGGAGATACTGAGGGGGCTGAGGGACACGGGGAGAGTGCGGGAGACTGGGTGATGGTTTGATTTTTGAGGGGGAGACACAGGTGATTCAGGGCGATGGGGAGAATGTGGGAGACGTGTAGATTTTTGGGGGGTAGACACTGAGGGGACTGAGGGACACAGGGAAAGTGCGAGAGGCTGGGAGGTAGATAGATTTTTGGGGGAGGACACTGTGGGGATTGAGGGGCTTGTGGAGGGTGTGGGAGACTGGAAGATGGATAGATTTTAATGGGGGAGACACTGAGGGACACGGGAGAGTGCGGGAGACTGTGAGATGGATAGATTTTTGGGGGGGAGACACTGAGGGACACGGGGAGAGTGAGGCAAACCTGGACATGGATACATTTTTAGGGAGAGAGATACTGACTGGATTGAGGGACACGGGGAGAGTGTGGGAGACTGGGAATTGGATTGCTTTTTGAGGAGGAGACACTGAAGGACACAGGGTGAGTGCGGGAGACTGGGAGATGCTTTGATTTTTGAGGGGGAGACACTGAGGGACACGGGGAGAGTGCGGGAGACTGGGAGATGCTTTGATTTTTGAGGGGGAGACACTGAGGGACACAGGGAGAGTGCGAGAGGCAGGGAGGTGGATACATTTTTGGGGGAGACACTGAGGGGATTGAGGGGCATGTGGAGGGTGCGGGAGACTAGAAGATGGATAGATTTTAATCGGGGAGACACTGAGGGACACGGGGAGAGTGCAGGAGACTGTGAGATAGATTTTTGGGGGGAGAAACTGGGACACGGGTAGAGTGCGGCAAACTTGGAGATGGATTGATTGTTGGGAGGGAGACATGGAGTGGGTTGAGGGACACTGGGAGAGTGCGGGACACTGGGTGATGTCTTGATGTTTGGGGGGAGATACTGATTGGATTGAGGGACATGTGGAGGGTGTGGGAAACTGGGAGATGGATAGATTTTTGGGGGGAGAGACACTGAGGGACACGGGGAGAGTGCGGGAGAGTGGGGGATGGATAAGTTTTTGGGGGGTAAACACTGAGGGAATTGAGGGACACGGGGAGAGTGAGGGAGACTGGGGTCTGGATAGATTTTTGGGGGGAGACACTGAGTGGATTGAGGAACATGTGGCAAATGTAGGAGACTGGGAAATGGATTGATTTTTGAGGAGGAGGCACTGAGGTGATTCAGTGAGATGGGGAGAGTGCAGGTAACTGGGACAGTGCGGGTGACTGGGAGATGTGTAGATTTTTGCAGGGTAGACACTGAGGAGACTGAGGGACACAGGGAAAGTGCAGGAGGCTGGGAGGTGCACACATTTTTGGCGGGAGACACTGAGAGACACGTGGAGAGTGTGGGAGACCGGGACATGGTTAGATTTTTAGGGAGAGACATTGAGGGGATTGAGGGACATGCAGGGAGTGAAGGACACTGGGAGACTGCGTGATACTGAGAGATGACTATATTTTTGGGGGAAGACACTGAGGGACATGGGGAGAGTGTGGCAGACTGGGAGAGGGATAGATTTTTGGGGGGGTCACTGAGGGACACGGGGAGAGTGCGGGAGACTGGGATGTGGATAGATTTTTGTGGAGAGACACTGAGGGACTCGGGGAGAGTGTGGGAGACTGTGAGATGGATAGATTTAATGGGGGAGACACTGAGGGACACAGGGAGAGTGCGGGAGACTGGGAAATGGATAGATTTTTGGAGGGGGAAGACACTGAGGGACACGGGGAGAGTGCGGGAGACTGGGAGATGAATAGATTTTTTTGGGTGGGGGAAGAGTGGCAGACACTGAGGGAATACTGTGAGACTCCAGTTCCCAGGCGTGACCATGGGCCTAAGCAGAACGGTGGGGAGCAGCCATAGGCCTGGGACTGGGGCAGAAGGTGGGTGGGACTGGGCTGGGGGTGGGAAATGGTGCATTGTGTGGTGTGGGGTCGGGAGCTGACGTATTTTCCTTGAGCATTCCACTCAAAACTCTCCAATATTTTCTCTCCACACACTCTCCCCTCTCTTCGTCTCCCCTCTCTCTCATTCCCCCACCTTCTGTCACTCTCCCTAACACTCCTTCTCTACATTCTCCCGCTCCCCCAACCTCAAAAAAACCACCAAACCCCTCTCTCACAATCTGCTGTTTCTGTTTCCCTCCGTTGTACTTTCCCCCTCCCTGCCTCCTTTACCTCCCTTACTCACTCCACACCTTCATTCTATTCCCTAACTCCTGTCTGCCACTCTTATCCCGCCTCCCCTCATTTTCTCTCTCTCCTCCCCACTCACCCCATTCCCTCTCTCTCTCCCCATCACTTTCTCCCCGTTCTCTCACTCTCCCCTCTCCCCCCCCCCTCTCCCCCTCCCCCTTCCCCCCTCTCTCTCCCCCTCCCCCCTCCCCGTTCTCTCCGGCTCCCGCTCTCCGTTCTCTCTCGCTCTCCCCTCTCCCCGTTCTCTCTCGCTCTCCCCTCTCCCCGTTCTCTCTCACTCTCCCCTCTCCCCGTTCTCTCTCACTCTCCCCTCTCCCCCTTCTCTCCCGCTCTGCACCCCCACCCCGTTCTGTCTCACTCTCCCCCCTCCCTCCCGCTCCGCACCCCCCCGTTCTCTCACTCTCCCTGTTCTCTCCCGCAGCTTCAATGAGCAGAGAGGTGACCGGCTCTGGCCTGGACACGACACCCCGTCTCCGCACCCCTGCGCCCCCTCCCCGATGAGCTACCACAGCACCCTGTTCCGGCGCTCGCTGCTGCCCCAGGGGCCCCCGCCCCCGGTGCTCCCTCAGTTGCGGGCAGGCTTGGCCCTGGCCAGCCTGGGGGGGATCGCCCAAATCACCCCGTCCCTCTTCCTGAGCAGCGGGAACGTGGCAGCCAACCGACACACCGTCTACACCCGGGGCATCACGTGCATCGTCAACGCCACGCTGGAGCTGAGCAACCCTCACTGGCCCGACATTGAGTACCTGAAGGTTCCCCTGCCCGACCTGCCGCACGCCCCGCTCTCCCTCTACTTCGACACGGTGGCCGACAAGATCCAGCACGTCTCCCGCAGGAACGGCCGCACGCTGGTGCACTGCGTGGCCGGCGTCAGCCGCTCATCTACACTGTGCATCGCCTACCTGATGAAGCACCACAAGCAGAGCCTCCTGGACGCCCACAACTGGGTCAAGGCCCGCCGGCCCGTCATCCGGCCGAACTACGGCTTCTGGCAGCAGCTCATCGACTACGAGAAGCGGCTCTTCGGCAAGAACACAGTCCGCATGGTGCCCACGCCTCTGGGCATGGTGCCCAGCATCTACGAGAAGGAGACGCGGGGGCTGACCCCTTACTGGTCCTTTAGATAAAGAGAAACGCACACACAACGCAGCAGGACGAGTCAAAAACTCGAGCTTCCCGGCCTGATGATTTCGGGGCGGGGGGGGGGGGGATGGAATGGGGGGAGGGGGGGTGGGGGGGGGGGGGGGGGGGGGGGAGGAAGAGGGGGAGGGGTGTGGTAAAGGGAGGGGGGGGGGGGGGGGGGGAATGCGACACAGACAGAGGGAAGGAGAGGGAGAGAGAGAGAGCGCGAGAGAGACAGAGACAGAGACAAGGAGTGAAAAACAGATAGACAGAGAGAGTCAGACAGAGACACAAGGAGAGAGAGAAGGCAGAGAGTGAGAGAGAGAGAGAGAGAGAGAGCGAGAGAAAGTCAGGGAGAGAAACAGTGAGACAAGGAGAGAAAAGAGAGACAGGGGAGAGAGACACAGAGAGGCGGGGGAGAGAGAGAAACAGACGGGGGGAAGGAGGGGGGGGAAGAGACAGAGAGACAGGGAGAGTAAGAGTGAGACAGGGAGAGAGAGAGAGAGACAGGGGGAGAGACAGAGAGAGACAGGGAGACAGACAGAGAAACAGAGAAAGAAAGAGACAGGGGAGAAAGAGAGTGAGAGAAAGAGATGGAGGGAGAGACAAAGAGAGAGAGAGAGACACATAGGCTGAGAGGAAATGAGATGGAGGGAAAGAGAGGGGGGGAGAGAGAGGGACAGAGAGAGACAGAAAGAGAAAAAACAAGAACGACAGACCGACAAGGCAAACACAGAGAGAGACACAGACAGACAGACAACAGAGAGAGACAGAGTGAGAGGATACGAAAGGAGGATTGTTAATTTCCCTCTGTGGAAGATGGTGATCAGTTTGTACCAGTGAGAACAAGACCAAGAGGGAGAAGGGCGACAGGGTGCAGGGAAGTGTCTGCTCCAGCGGATCACAATGAGGACATGTGAAACGCACCTCCCGGTAAATATCACCATCTCACCGTGAAAACCGGTCTGTCCCAGTCCCAGGAAATATCACTGTCTCACCGTGAAAACTGGTCTGTCCCAGTCCCAGGAAATATGACCGTCTCACCGTGAAAACCG